CCAATAGAGCAGCCCACTCCTAGAGGCTGGATGTCCAAGCTTTCAGGATTTATTTATTGTTTTGTTCCATATAGGAATTGATCTCAGATTGCATTTTAGTCTTTATGTGATGATTTTCAAACATTGCTGATGCTTGGGTATAATGGAGATTTAAAAAAAAAAAAAAGTCTCCTGGGCAGGTCAAAAGTTTTTATACCTGGGCAGATTCTGATCAAAGATGAGACTCTATGTAAGAAAGAGTTTAGAATGAAAATGATCATAGGATTGTTCACGGTGCCCGCAATAGTAGTTTCCACAACACATAGATGAGTAGGTAGAGAACAGCTAAATCAGGGGTGTCAAACTGGATTTCTTCAAGAGCTGGCGGGGGTGAGGGGGTGGGGAGGAGAGACGGGAAGGAAGTCTCCTATAGCACTCTGCTGGCCAAAACGGGGCATGTGGAGGCCCCTGTGGGCCTTATATTTGGCCTCCACAGCCTCCAGCAGCACTCTGCCGGCTAAAAACGGTCCGCATGAAAGCCGCATGTGCCCTCCCCGTGGCCCGTTTTGGCCGGCAGAGGCCCCACAGGCTGGTCCTTTGATATTTCCAGGCTGGCCCCACGGGCCAGATTTAAACACCCCGTGAGCCGGATCTGACCTGCAGGCCTTGAGTTTACACCCCTGAGCTAAATGGAGACAGCCTTCCCAGTGTCTTACATAACTATGTTTGAAAAGTAACAAAAGATTGTTCAATAAAGGAGAGATGAAAAATATTTCCCACAAAAACCTCAAGCCAATATTAAATCCAAGAAGTAATTTGTATTCTGGGAAAAGCCAGGGGAAGACACAGTTTGCACAATAACACTCAGCTATAGCTAAAGAAAAGAATCACACTCATCATGAACTCTACATGTTCATTTCCAGTTATATACAACTTCATTCTACAAGGTCTGGCCACATACATTGTTTACATGAGTATTACCAGATCTGGGCTGCAAAAATCCAGAAGGCTAAGAGCAATGAATTAACTCTTATCATTAACTCTTATCATTAACGCTTGTCAGATGTTACATCTTTTCTATCCTACTCTATGGAGTAGAGAGTTGGTCTCTGACAGAAAACCACTTGAAGAAACTAGAAGCATTTGAAATGAGGATTTACAGACTGTTACATATGGGTTAACAAAATAACAAATGAGGAGGTGATAAGCCGCCTGGGAAAGCACAGGGAAGTAATCAAAGCCATTAAAAAGTGAAAATTAGAATATTTTGGACATGTGATGCGACACCCAGAAAAATATGGCATCCTTCACTTAATCCTCCAAGGAAAGAGTGAAGGCAAATGAGGTCCATCATGGCTTCAAAACCTTAGGGACTGGTTTGGATAAAACTCAGCAGCACTTTTTCATGTGGCTGTTGACAAAAATAGGATTGCCAACATGATCACCAACGTCCGATGACGGATATGGCACAAGAAGAAGAAGAAGATTATCTCTTCATTGCTGTCTACTGGTCATCTGGATTTTTGCATCTTGGATTTGTTTGCCCTAATATTACATTCTTTCCCTTTCCCTTCATTACACAAATAATCATTGCATCTACTTTCTTGATTGGTTAATTCATGTTTTACTTCTCCTGACATTCCAAGCTGTGATTTTTCTATGTGCCATGGCCATAAATACTAACTACTCAGTGTAGCTATGGTCAACCGGGGCTGACAAACAAATTTTTTTAGTAAGAAAAGGAAGGAGTAGATTATGTAACCAATCTTAGTTATACTTTTATGACCTTACTTATGCTATTCTATGGATGCTATTCTATGGAACTCTAATATAAAGACTAACTTGCCAGTTGATATACTTTTGCTAAATCCCATCAACTAGTAAGAATATGCAACAGATTGATAGGATAAGGAAATAAATGTTACCCCTCATTTAGTTTTTTTAAACATGGTTTTTGTGTTAGCCATACCTGCTTACTGAAATATGTGCCCAATCTAGTCATCCTGACATATGTTGCACATAACTGATCTATGGGTAAGCCATATTTTCACAGCCTTGTTTCACTAGAGAACTGGGAAATGGGTATTTTCACAGCTTTACTCCATAGCAACACAAATATGTGGTTATTATGATTATGGGGGGTGGGAGGAGAGTTTGCCTCTTCTTAAGTGGGAAGGGCTGTGACCTGAGTGCTGGTGAAATGAAACATAGCTGAAACAGAAGGGAGTCAGAAGTTACTAGAATCTGTTCTCTTCTGTAAGAAATTTCTGTTGCCATCCATGAACTACATGCTAGCTGGGAATTCTGACTGCTGCAGCCCTACATACTAAATTGAGATTATTTGTATTAGATCCTTGGTTGGTTTTACAGGTAGTCCTCAACTTACAACCACAATTGAGCCCAAAATTTCTATTGCTCAGCAAGGCAGTTCAGTGAGTTTTGACCCATTTGTCACAATTGTTAAGCGAATCAGTGCAGTTTGTTAAGTGAATCTGGCTTCCCTCATTGACTTTACTTATCGAACGTCAGCTGGGAAGGTTTCAAGTGACCCGAGAACAATGCAACTGTCATAAAAAAATTCCAGTTGCTAAGCGCCTGAATTTTCATCATGTGACCACAGGGATACTGCCATGATCATAAGTGTGAAAAGTAACCAAAAGTCCCTTTTTTCAGTGCTGTTAACTTCAAATAGTCACTAAACAAATGGTTGTTAAGTCAAGGACTGCCTGTATTCATTGGTAGCTTCACATTGCAATGAACAAGGACACCCATTCAATTTCGCAGCTACTAAGATTGTTGGTTGTGCAGGTACAAAGATAGCCAGGGAAATGATTGAAGCCTGGGAAACGGGCCCTTTATCAGTTAAAAGGAGTGCTGATTTACCACCAGCTTATCAAGTACTTAGGAGACAAGGAAACAACAGCCAATCGCCAGCCCTCAACATACCAATCAACCAACAGGAAGGCATCACATAAATGCAACTCACAGAATAGCCCAAAGCACATATTCCATGAGAGAGAAGTTCCCTGAAGATGGGACTCCAGCATGTGTCTGAAAGCTCGGAAGAGAAAATCTCTGGTCCTGGTAACCGATCCATACTCGATCTCGCAACTATGTGTATTTTCTAAAAGGGAACTTTCTCAGAACCATTCCAAACTGCAGTTATCAGGATTCTTTAATAGAAACAGTAAATGTTAAACTGACATGAAACTAATACATGCTTGTGGTATAGGTATAGTAATAGTTGATGTGTAGGAGTTGATGAGAATCAAACTCATCTTTATTACACAGTGAAACTAATGCATCAAAAAGGCCTAATATGACCTAAGACCCACTGTGCTCTCCTCTAGAAGAAACCACCTCTGAAAAGATAAATCCTTCATTCTTTTACTATTGACTGAAAGACCAAACACCTTCCTGAACAGGCATCTCTATGCCCTTGTATGACCTGTTGTTGCTTCTTTGCTTTTCCTTCTGCCTCTGGAGATCTTTTATCAGAACTCACAGGACATTTCTCCTGCATAAGGCTCTGAGCATACCTAAGCATTTCAGCTTGGCTTTTGTAGACACTCGATAGTAGATCTTACTACTTGAACCGGAATTAATCTACATTAGAAACTTTGCTTTAAAACAGCAAGGTAATCTTTTGACTTCCAACCACAACTGGGATCAGAATTTCAGTCACTAAGAAATGTGGCCATAAAGCAAGACATCATTGACTATATCACTTAGTGACTGCAATCTTGACAATCCCTGTTGCCATTGTTAAGCGAATCTTACGAGTCGTAAGCTGAGGAGCCACCCCCATTCAAGCCAATCAGGATTTGGTTCCCACTCCAGCCCTGAGCCTCAGTAAAATAAGGAACCGCCTCCAACTCCTTCCATCCAATTAATCTTTTCCCATTTCTGCCTTTTTGGCTGCCCTGCACCCTGCCTTGGAGGCGTGGGGCATGCAGCTCCAGAACTGCCCAGTTGTTTGTCACACTATGGGAAGCCACAGCCAGCCCAACCTAGTCACAGTCAGCCTAGCCAACCTACATTCCCCTGCATGCATTTCCCAATCTACACAGCACCTATTATGCACCCCTAAGCACTCTTCCTGACCTTCTCCTTGAAATTCTGCTTTGGTCAGAAATGTTACAATATCTAATAAAAAGGGGAAGAATTTGTCTTTGCTGTTATTAGGCTTAGCAATTCACATTTTCCCCACTAATGTAAGAGCCTGAATCAATTAAGTAGCTGTCAGTAGCAATTCATTTGATTTTCAACATTTATACATTCCATAAATACTGTACTTTATTTAACTCAGTCTCCCCCAACCTACAGCACTCAGCTGTAGCAAGCAGTCACCAACGTTACTATTGTTCGGTGCAGCTGGAGGGCCCCTGATTGGGAAAGACTACTATAAATAATAATGAAATATGACAATTTCTACAATTCCTTGCATTGGCCATGCTGGCCCGAGCTAGTGGGAGTTTAAATTTAAAATAGCTGGTAAATGTACAGTTTCCTAGGTCTATTCTAGGGGTGTCAAACTCAAGGCCAGGGGCTGGATCCAGCCCGCGGGGTCGCCCTGGAAACAGCGAAGGACCAGCCCGCAGTACCTCTACCAGTGAAAATGGAGCTCAGGAGGGCCGCATGCGGCCCTTCCGAGCTCCATTTTCGCTGGCAGAGGATCACAGGAGGCTGTTGCAGGGAAAATGGAGCTTGGGAGCCCGTTTTCTCTGGCAGAGCGTTCAGGCTGCCACAGATGCCCCGACACGAATGACATCGAGCTGGCCACGCCCACTCTAGCTACAAACCCCACCCCCAGGTCAAACACAACCCTGATCCGGCCCTTAATGAAATTGAGTTCAACACCGCTGCTCTATTCCAATCAAACTGTTTTAATAGGACAAAATGGCACTGCTGGGTCTGGTCTGGGCATTATCTCAGAGATTTCTGATTTTTCTGGAAGAGGGGAAGGTTGCTTTAATTTTTCCTTCTCTTCTTGACGAAATCTCCTCCTCAGTTTGTCTCAGACTGAAATTCTTAACAAGGCTTATTCAGCAAAAGGATCATGATAATCAGGGAAGAGAGGAAGATTTATGTTTACAAAGGGCTGCAATCAAGGCCTCTATGAATCCTGTGAAGCAAAGCTTATCTTCATGCTGCAAATTTGGTATTTTCAAGAGTCTCTCTGGATGCAGATCAGAATCAAATCAAGGTGAAGGCAAAGCAGATGTTAACTATTTCATTCTTTCATCACAACTTTGCTGTATTATACTTGGTGTCTGAAACACTGTGATTTTGGACAATGCAAAATAATGGGGAATAAGTCAAATGTATATATCTATAACAATGACCTTGCTGTTTTGGAATAATATCTGGATTGAACCAGATATTAATGGATTAATGGTTCTTTAGCAGGATTATTACAATAGCCGCAAGCAATTATTCAAGAAAGATGTACTAAATGGATACTAAATTGTCATTGGGTGAAGCTGTTCTTTTTTTTGTTGTTGTTATTCTATCAACAAAGAGACACTGTATGCATTTTTGTCTTTGGCTCTACTACTAACCTGTTGCAACCTGAGTACAAGCAAGATCAAGTCAGGTTAGAACGTAGAATGAAGTCTACCTGGGTATTTTGACCTGGAGGCAAGAAATAGAAATTTTTAAAATCCTGGAAGAAAGCAATTGCAAAATATTTGATACAGCTGCTGAAACGGCTCCATTGATGAGTTTACGTAAACATTAGGAGTTGACTCAACTTGATTGAGCCTTTATCTTGTTGGAAGAAATATCCATCTGGTTCAGTTCCAAGGGGGGAGAAAGACAGTGGAAACATGGAGGCTGTTGGGAAAGATGGTTTATTGATGGACAGGATCACATGGGTTTGAGGTCCTGGGCAGCTGATCACATAGAGTGGAGAGTGAGAGGTATGTATATCCTCTCTTGGGCCTTGCCCTTGAGCTTCCTATTCCTGTGCAAGAAATGTATTCTATTGATTGTCAGACTCCCAGGGGGCTATGTGGGGGTCATAGCTAACTTTTTAGGTTGTCTGAATTAAGTTTGATTGAAGCCAGGGCTCTCTGAGATGATGTAACCAGAAGGCTTGTGTCCTGAAAGGGTGTTGGGCCATTCCTATTGTGTCTTAATGGATTTCCTGGTTTGAATCTTGAGTGAGGGCTGATCCTACTGTAGGAAGAAATATCCTTCTGGGTTCAGCTCCAAGTGGGGAAAAGGACACTGGAAACATGGAGACTGCTTGGAAAGATGGTTTAATGGTGGACAGGATCACATGGCTTGAGTTCCTGAACAGAAAAAGGGGCGAGATACAGTGAGTCCCCGGGTTTTATGCTCTCTCTGGCTTTGAACTTCCTGGGGCCCCAAAAGAGTATCCTGATCGGTTGTCAGACTCCCAGGGGGTGGGGGTCTTAGCTAGCCTTGCTGGCTGATGTAATCTTTCCAGGTGCCATGTAGTGAGTTTCTGTCCTAGATGGGTCCTATTGTGTTGCAGATGAGTTTCAAAGATTGAAAGATTGAGTTTCTGCCTCTGGCCCATTGACAAAGGGTGGGGGCAGGAAGGTGGGAGCTGCTTTGTCTTTAAAACATGCTTCTCCATTTCTCATACAGGGAAACATAATATTCTACCTTTTTAATATTTCCCAAAATATTTCATTCCTCTAGGAAAGGGGTAGGTGCTAACTTCCTACACAACCATTCTACCTAATTCTGCCTTTGTTCAAAATATCCTGTCTTGAATGGATTACCAAATCTGCATTTCTAAAAATTGGCCTCAGCTTAGTATCTGCTTGGGGGCAGGGAACTGTGGCTCTGAGTTTCTGTCTCCTTTAAGATTTCTATTTCTCTTTTAGGAGAAATATAATATTCTGCCTTTTTAAATATTTCTCAAAGTATTTCATTCTTCTAGCAGAAGGGTAGGTGCTAACTTTCTCCAATCTGACTAAACTATATCGAATGGCTTAATCTCAACAAATAGGAGAAATGTTAACAAAATAGGATTTGCCAGCAATCCTATTACAAACTCCCTTGCTCATTAAAATCAGAATTCAATCAGAAGAGGCTCAGCACAGGTAGCAACTTCCCCAGAAGAATTGAGATCAAATGTAACTCACCTCCAAAAGATGCTTTCAACAACATGTTGCCTTATCTCTTTGCACATTGACCAGATTTGTGAGATTGCTGCAGCTGATAATGTTCTGCCATAGCAAGGGAAATTTTTGAATTGCAAAGTACTGGATTGGTCCTTCTCTGTAACAATGTGTGCTCATACAGGACATGCTGTCCTTTGAGAGATTTGGGCTTCCTTAAGGGCCAGTGAAATTTATGCATAAGCACAGAAGAAGGGAGGATGAGGCCAAGTATAGTGATCATGCCTCTTCCATTTAAATTGAAAGAATGGAGTGGGGAAAGCACCAACAGAGAAAGCTTTTCACCAATATGCATTGTTTGGACAGAGGGCAGAGATAACATCTTTTTCTTACCGTAGAAGGCTATTCTTGGTCATGCAAGACAACTGTGTGCTTTTTTTTTGGTTGCTGGCCCAGTCCATCTAACCGATAAATTGCATCTGCACAAATTGAATAACTTGATTTTAAGAGTCATCTGTCTGTCTATTTGATTGGCTGCCCATCTTATCAAGAGAGACTTTAGATAACTGCCTGATATCCAAAACTGCCAGGACTTTAGATTATTAGTCTCTATGAACATATCTTTTAAATCCTAGATATGCTCTAACAATAACTAAATGGATTTACCTTGGTAATTAACTAGCGCCGACAAAATGTAGTCAAATTGTTGGAAGAAATGTCCATCTGGGTTCAGTTCTAAGTGGGGAAAAAGACACTGGAAACATGGAGACTGCTTGGAAAGATGGTTTTTAATGGTGGACAGGATCACATGCCTTGATGATGTTGGGTGAAGAAAAAAAGGGAAGAGATGATGAGAGTGGCTGGATTTTATACCTTTTCTGGGCTTTTGAATTTGAGCTTGTATTCTGATTGGTTGTCAGCCTCCCATGAGGCCATGCAAGGGCAACTCTGTAGGCTGTGTTTTTGAGTCCCAAGCTTGGTTGAGCCTTGCTGGATGATATAATCTTCTCAGGTGCCATGTGGTGAGATGGGTAGAGGGCTAATCCTATCATGTTCTGAGGGCCATGTCTTAATCCCATCACCCTGGAGCTGAAGGTCTTTTGTGTTGTACATAAGATGTCTTTTGTCTTTCTGAGGCTATTAACAAAGCTGGGGGCCGCTTTCCAAGAGCATGTTTCTCCTTTTCTAATCCAGGAAGGTACAATATTCTGCTTTTTAAATATTTCCTAGAATAATTCATTTTTCTAGGAGAGAGATGGGTGCTAACTTCCTACAAAACTTAAATGGTTGCCAGATCCGGATGAATTTTTGCTGACCCATTTAAATTCCCTTCAATTAATAACTATCATAACTGAGAATGGAAATTCTCAGGATGTTACAAATGGTTATGATAAACTTTCTTTTCTAATTAAAAGTTTATGGCTTGAAGGATCTAATATTTATAATGCCAACAACAAACAAGAAAATGAAGGGTGTAGGTAATAAACCATACTAGGTGTCTCTTTTTTTATAAAGCAGTTAAGAGAAACCTATATTTCATATCATTTATACAATCCCCCTAATCTTCCACTTAGTTGTTTTCAATTTAAAAAATGTTTATAAGAATTTGATAACATTGAAAATATCAAAAAAGTAAGGACACCTGGTACGAATTACTTGATGCCTCTTTCAATAACCATTCCAGCTGTGAACTATTCCAACAGTTATTTGCAACACCATTTCCAAACTCTTATTTTTTTCGAGAAGACTTTTGATACCAACCATAAAGATTTTAATACTACAAATTATCTCCTTTGAGTTCTTCTAACTGAAACTGATACCTGTTTCTTTGTTCAACATTTTAGATTAGGGAAAACTCTTGGGCGTTCCCTCTATATTTCCCTTGATTTTACCAGGCAAATTCTGATCTATGAGTATTTTGACTTGCGATACTATTTACAATTGTTACCAACTCAGGGATACAGGAATGCCTCCAGGCTGGAACTGAGCTATGATATGCCCAATCTACAGAAAAGGGTCTCCAATGAATGCTGCAAACTGTAGGCTAAAAATGTATTGTTTAATATAGGAAACTGTGTCCAGATTTCTAAATAATACATTAACATCATTTCTGGAAAAAAGATCATTAGTCACAAAAGCCCAAACTGCCTTCAGGAAATGACACTCCACTCTGGATCTCTGTCTGGCTAACTCACCTTGCAGAAAAATATTCCAGTCTCTCAGTAGAGGAACTGCTACCTTTATGGGCCTGAGGGCTATATTTGACTTCCCCTAAATCCAAAGTCTGGCAAAAGCTCAACAAAATGCTATTGACAAGAGATTAGTCCTTCTAATCTCTGCACAAAGACAGAGCTCTATACAAAAAATAGTTAATTGCAAATAAGATGTTGTAATGATGGTGATCTTAGAAACATTATCCCTATAAATGAGGATGCATATCAGGGCTGTATTTTCACCTCAATGCTATTTAATATCTATCTTAATGAACTGCCAGCCTTTGTAAACTGCATCAAAAGCCACTTCCCTTCCCTTGGTTGTAGAAGACCATGCTTGATGCTCCATGCTGGTAATATAGTGTAGGAAGTTAGCACCCACCCCTCTCCTAGGAAAATGAAATACTCTAGGAAAAATATAAAAAGGCAGAATGTTATATTTTCCCTAAAGGAGAAACATGTTTCTAAAGACAAACTCAGAGCCTTAGCTCCCTGCCCCTCAGCAGATATTTTGATGCCAACCTATCTACAAGACAAAGGCTGGGCCAGCTTATCTACAACACAAAAGACATGTCCCTCAGGTCATGATAGGATTAGCCCTCACTCAAGATCCAAACCAGGACAAAGCCATTAAGCTATAATAGGAATTGCCCAAAGCCCCTTCATTACCTCATCATCCAGCAAGATTCAACCAGGCCTGGGAGTCTGACAACCAATCAGAGTACATTCCTTACACAGGAACAGGAAGCTCCAAGGCGGGGCCCAAGAGAGGATATAAATCTCTCTCACTCTCTCATCCATGTGCTCTTTTTGCCCAGGACCTCAAACTATGTGGTCCTGTCCACCATTAAACCGTCTTTCCAAGCAGTCTCCATGTTTCCAATGTCTTTCTTCCCACTTGGAACTGAACCCAGATGGACATTTCTTCCAACAATAGTTTTACCCTCTCATTCAAGACTGAGACGCAAATGCCTTCTAAACCTTTACTGATTATGGGAAGCAAAATTCCCTTGAAATATATTGGGACAAATCTAAAATCCTGATTTTCAAGAGGAAATCTAAATGTCTATCTGTCTTACATTTATATGGCTGGCCATTTCACACAAGGGACTCTGGGCACAGTACCACAATCAATAAAACAACAAATATATAAAAACAGTCAT